AGATAAAAGCATTAAGTAAAAAAAAAAAAATCAGAATGTCTATCATACAAAGAAAGTAATTTTCTCATTTCTATAACTCAAGATTCAAATTTTTCTGTTTAGGATAAAGAGTCCATGTTCCCAAAATGTACAATTATAGAAATACTGCATAACCAATTAATCATAGAGATTTAAAAATTGGTAATTACTTAATCTTGTTCATTCAATTGTTGAATGAGATTATATTAATTTACTTAAAGCTGCTAAAAATATACCTCAACTACTGATTAAAGGGGATAATCACAATTAAATGGAGATTTTAAAAAATGATGGATGTCCTCAGAATAATATCTGTAAAGTAATTTTCAGTTGTCTATTTGGTAAGACTTTCATTGTTAACTTTCTGCAAAGAGGGGCTGGAAATAACTATATTTATACATTACACAAGCTTTAAGTGCAGTTTCATTGTTTATTTTCTAGATCATTTACACAAAAACCACCTCAGTTCACATTCAGAATAGTTAAATCCTTTAATAGACAGTAGTTATGGCCTGAAGTCCTTTGGTGTGAAAGTCCTCTTAAGTTCAATAAAAATAGCACATTTGCCAAAAAAGTTTAAGAGAGTGAATTCATTTGTCCTAATTGAAAAGATGAATTTTTTTTTCCTGGATCTCCATTTACATGATGTTATACAAAACAGCTCAAAAAGCTTCAGTTAAAACAGGAACTCAGAATTTCCTTTCCGGAAAAAAAAAAAAAAAAAATGTGGCTTTTGAAGAGACACTCAGTTATCTGTGATAAAGAAAATGTCCCACAATTAGATTGGTGTATATATATTTTTTTCCTATGGACAAAAGTCAAGCCTTAGCAATGCATAATAAGCACTTCCTAAATTAAATTCTAAATAAGCCTGTGCCAGAAATGTGTTCATCATTTCTGCTTTAAAAAAAAAAAAAAAAAAACCACACACACACACAGCAAAACAAAAAACAACTTCTATTCACATAAACCTCTTATACAACAGAATTGAATTCCGTCAAGTCTTACTGGCTGATTATGCCCAGGATAGTACACTAGCTTGTCTATCTGGGAAGACTACAATCCTGGGAGACCTTCTGGCAGGTATCTTGCCCTCCAATGGCATGATATGCAATCTCACCCACACTCAACAGCAGCAGTGTCCAGCTGGGGATGAGTACCAGGAATGCAAACACAGGAGGTTTTGCCAAGGCACTTGGGACACACAGAGGCAATTCATTTATCTCTCAGCACTAAATCCTCACTTCAGATATCGACACCATCCAAGGAGACCAAAATGTAATGACTATAAAAGTTTTACTGGCCAATGTTTGCAAACACAAAATTATATAACTAGGTAATGATATGTATTTGGTTAAAGAGAATTAAGTTTCCAATTCCTTCTCTTAATATATTTCAGTCCTGTTATGCATTTTATGATCCTCCCTCAACCCCACAAAACCCATAAAAAACAGAAATCACTACCATAAACAATAGGCTGTATTATGAAATCCTTCAGTCCTAATTGTGCAAATAGGTATAAACAATTGTGCAAAAAGTATAAACAACTAGGGTCCAAACAGCCATTTTGTGATGGTAACTCAGAGCTTAGTTGTCTTTCGCTTTCTCTCATGCTCCCTTCCTGCCCCATTTTCTCTCCTATACAAGCACTTTATTTCTCTTTCTTTTAAAGACATCTACGGACTTAGCAGGCAACACTCTGCATCAGCAAAACTGCTTGTGGGGATAACTAATGAAGCAAATGTAGGCTTTTTCAGGACCTGATATTGGGAAAGAGGTTTCATAAGCAGGCATCGCAACAAAAGAGTTGTTGACAACTTGTCTGTTCTACAGTGAGGTAACCAAAAATGAAAATTTGCTTTATTACATAATTCCTTTATTCATCTCCTTTTTCTTCAGCCACTGCTACTTCAGATGAGGGAGAAATGTAACATGTTAAACAAGGAAAGGAAGAAAGGGAACAGTCTAGTTAGAGTGAGGCAGTAGTTGTTATTTTTCACAATTAAAACAATTTAATTCTTGCCAAAATAAAATTATGCAATCCTAACATCTCCATAGAATTTTAAAAACTGGAAGAATCCTTACAGACCATCTGGTCCTACCCTATCTCACAGACAGGAAAACTAAAATTTAAGCCCAAGATCAAGCAGTTATATAATGACAAAACTGGGACTTCTGCTTTAGTACATTCAGTATTTTCTTTGATATACCATATACAAACGATTCTCCAAGGTTCAAAACTACAGACATAAAATAAATGGATTGTTACCTACAACATAAAATGTGTTTATCATTTCAAAATCATTTTTTGTCACTCAAAACGAATTCTATAGATTCTTTGGTGTTTCTATTCCTCCAAGAGCTTTGTGACCACCAAGCCAGGAATAGGAAGATGAAAACAATTATCAGGAAAATTTAGGGGAAGAGAAAAAAAAAATGCAAGCTACTTGATTGAGATAATCAATAGAAATAGCTGCTGGGATTAACAGTTACTGAAAAGACAAGGCTGAAACCATAACAGAGCAATGGAACTGCTTCTGGAGGGTAGTTCTCCCCCTGTAGAGAGGAAAACAGCAAAAGACAGGAGCAGTGTAAAAGTATTGGAATGCATGTTATATAAGACAGCTGACTAGAGTGATTAGAATTCTTGTGGCATAAGGTAGTAGAATCTGCAGTTTAAAACCAGAACTCCAGATGATACCAGGGCAACTGGTCCTCAAGAGTACCTTTTGAAAAACACTGGTAAATAGACACTGTGGTCTAGGAGGGTTAAAAGGTCTTAAAAATTCTTACTCGGGTAAAAGGTATTAAAAATTCTTACTCGGGTGTACTAGTGTTAACTAGCCTCACTAGATCCTCTCAACCAACCAGGCAAAGGAAATGCCCCAGGCAAAACACATTATGGCTAATTCCGTTCCCAGTCCAGGCAGTCAGACAAGGTGGTTGCCACACAGTCACCAGCAAGGAGCAAGAGAACATTATGTAATCACTGTCCCAGCTTTAAGATGAAGAGATCAGAAGTTCTCTCTCAATCGTCTGTCATTAAGTAAGGTCTACCTTAATCTATTAAGTGACTGATTATAAGAATCCTATTTTTAATGTAGAGAAATATTTTGTTACCCAGTGAAGAAAAAGTCTTTCAGCTTATAGGCAGGAAAAGAATTCATTGTTTTTCTATCTACCAATGAATCTGTGACTAACATGTTGGTTATAAAGGAAAAGTCTCTACTAGTTCCAGTATTTTTCTTTGAATATAGGGATCTGAGAAAATAAGAAATGAAAAACAAAGTACAGAGTTGTAAATGGTTACTTTTAATAGCTGCAATAACCACAAAATTTAAATTAGGATGAATTTGTGAGAAAGTCTAAGAACTGAAAATAGGGCCACTAATTCACAAAGAACGAAAACTGTCAGAAGTCAGACTTAGAGCTACTCAGCAAATTTAATTCTGATGTTTGTCCAGAGTTTTTCTTCACTACAGTGGAACAGAGAAAAGCTATATGAAATGACATCATCCAATGCTTTCTCCTCCTCTTTTTTTTTAAATGGGAGGAGTTATATTTGTTTATAGGATTTAAAAATTACATGCATATGTAACAGCATTACAAATATATATTTGAGGTTGTTCTGACTGGGTACTTGAATATTAATCTATTTCAGGTACCATGTATGTTAGATTAATAAAGAGCTAAGATAATTTGCTACTGCAGTTTTTCTCTGTGCATTCCAAACATTTTCTTTTAAGACCAAGACTGTTTGCAATGGATTCAGGAAAACAATACTAATACCAAAACCAAAACCTTTAATCCTTTTAGGGAATCAGTTCACTGTCCTATTTCAAGGCAAGGCAAGTCATTTAAAAACCAACCCCAGTTATTTCTAACTACAACATTGCCAGAAAATAAGTACAGGCACATCCAGATTATCATTATATTCTCAAAAAATTTATAGTATATTAGTGGCCCATTTTTCAGTAGTAATTTTCATTAGACCATATAAAAATTCTTATTACTCATAGTTGGCACACAAATGATTTAAGTCAAAACTAAAATTACCCTGCTAAGTCTTGAAGATCGCTAAGGAAAAATAAACTAAGCAACATAACTTCTACAATTAATTTCAACCGAACTGAATTTTGCAACCTAAAAGAAAGATCTAGTAGGAAGAGGCAAAACTTCTGAGAAAATCATATTCATATTTAAACCACTAAAAGTTAATAACGGCTCCACTTGTGATTTTTACTTAGGGCTGAAGGGGGACTTTATAAAACGAAGGAAAATTTTAAGGAGCTGGAGACAAATTTTTTTTTGGTTTCACTTTGCACAAGAGGCGCCCACAAAGACACTGATAAAATATTGAAATGTCAACTGCTGGTTTTACACTTACATCCACATAGTCATTACTGACCTTTACCTGGAATATAGTTTTAATTATCAAACCAGCAGCCAGAACCTACTCCTAGCCGACTATCGCCTCACCCCCTGCTCCAGACCCCACCGTGAAGTTCACCTGCCAACACCGAAGAGCTGTGCAAAAGGAAGGTAAAGAAGAAAACGCTTTTTTTAAAAATTAAGACGCTTGCAGTTGCTGGACTTAGTCCAAGTGCTGTTCAGCCTGGAAACGAAAGTAGGAAACAACAGAGGTTTAGGCTTGGAATGATGTCAGCCATTTTAGGCTCATTATTTATACTGGGAAGGGGAAGTGCCAAACTCGGCGGAGCTTGTTTTGCCGGTCGCAGCCGGTCCCAGGTGGAACCAGCCAGCTCCGGGCCCCGCGCACATCCCGGGACCGCACGAGGACGGGGGACGCGCGCAGCTCCGCGACCCCGCGGGGGGCGCCTCTCGCTGCACAGGCACCTCGGTACAAAGAAGGAACCGCGGCCGCACCGCGGGGCGGAGCGCGGGCTCTCCCGGGGTCCCCCACCCTGCGCAGCTGCCCCGCCGGGCCCAGACCCCGCTCCCCGACCTTCCCGGGCTCGGACCTTGCAGTCCACCGCGACGGCGTCGGGGGGAATGATGAGCGCCTCCTCGCCGCTCTTGGGATCGTCCTTCTTGGCCTCCTTCTGGGCCAGAGCCGAGTTGAACGTCACCTTCACCATGGTGCGGCCTGGAGCGCCCTAGGCGGGCGGCGATGGGCTGGAGGCGCGGGCTGCGGGATCCCGGCTGCAGCTGCAGCCTCCTCGGCCGGGCTCCGAGCGCGACTCAGTGGCGGCTGTTGAAGCTCCGGTGGCTTTGCAGCGGCTGAGGCGACGACTAGCTCCGCTCTCGCAGCCTCCCAGCTCGGGCGCGGGGGCGGGCGGGGCCTGAGGTCGGGAGGGGCGGAGCTGGCGGGTGGAGGGGCGGAGCCTGAGGGCAGGGGCGGGGCCGAGCGCTGCGCCAGACCCTGCCCAAGCCCCCAAACCGCGCGCAGAACCCTACCAGTCGCGCTGGGAGGGTGTACCTAGGGGAGAGCAGGTGACCTCTCTGGGTCGCCTGGATTTTCCGGTTCTGATTTCGCTTTCAACCGGTTTACCTCCAGGCCCAGTGCTGGCAGGTTGGTGGCAAAATCGGGTGAACTTTTGTGGTTCGCCGCACACGATGGGTTAACCTCTGGCAGCACTAAGGCCGCCTCTTCCTTGCCCGCTGCCCCCACCGCGAACCTAAGGGCCAACGACTTCTTGTGTTAGAAAGATCTCCATTTTTGCAATTTATTAGCGAACCGATTCACTGCAGCACAGAAATGTTCAAAGCTCTGTATTTGTGATCTGATTTTATCTTCCACAGACCTCGCCCAAGGGCGTTGCCTGACTGACTTGCTTCTCCCCTCCCTGGGGAGGTCATTGCCTGCCCTGCCTAGTCCCAGATCAGTTCGGATGAATCCTCTTAGCAGATTTGTATTTTGAACATCTCATACTGGTAAAACAAAATGTTCCTCTCTTGTGCAGGCTTGGAACAAGCCCATGTGAACACTGGACTGATTTGTGATTCAAAGCAAGGTCCTTTTCTGCAAAGTGAAAACTACTCATTTAAGGCTAAAGCAAAATTCTCATATTTTGAAGAAGTTTCACTTACACCTGAAACCTCTGTAGAGAGGGAGGATACTGGCCTGTACTGTTTGTGGGTTTATGACTGTGTCACAGATGGCCCTTTGGACAATGGTTGATTCTGTATCCTTCTCCCAGTCCACTCTCCTGGTTCACCCCAGACTTGTGGCTGTGCTCTGCAAGATTCCAGCTATGTCAACTCTGGCCTGGGTCAACCCTGAGAAAAGTAGGTTGAGTCTGAGGTCTTTGAGGATTTGACTGCTGAATGAGAGACTTAGGTATCTTAGATCTTCATAGAAAGTCAGATCACAAAATCCCCAAGAAACAGCCCAAGGTTACAAATTTCAGAAACATCTTGGACTGAGAAAGAAACCCAGGCCAGGCTTGGAGCCATCTTGGGTATTTTTTTTTTGAATTTTTAATATTTATTTTTTAGTTCTCAGCAGACACAACATCTTTGTTGGTATGTGGTGCTGAGGATCGAACCCGGGCAGCACGCATGCCAGGCGATCCCGCTACCACTTTAGCCACATCCCCAGCCCCCATCTTGGGTATTCTGAAAGAATTAAGTGTTCAATGAGAGTAGGAGTTGGGTTCCAGTTGTAATGAGATTTAACATAAGCTAGCCATTGAGTTCCAGCAACTTATTTAAACTCCCTGGGTTGTTCTCACTTGGCCAGATGTCAACTCTGGTGTTCACTTTGTGAACTGGCATTTGGTAGTAAAAGTGGAATCTAATTCATCAAAGTTAAGTACTGCTACCAGCTCCCTAATTTTGCAGATTTCCTAAGACATGCCAACTGAAGACCAAGGAATTCTGGAAGCAAGATCTGAAGGATTATAATTATACATATATCAATCTGTCAGAAGACACCATTACAAGTTAGTTTAAGGATCTTAATTGGCTTTACTTTCAATTCTAGAATTGAGCAACATTTCATTCCATAAAATAGAATAAGTTCCAATGAGGACCACAGAGGAGGTTAGTTTACAGATGAGAAAAAAAAAAAAGCAGGGGATTGGGAATACAGTTCTGTGGTACAGTACTTGCCTGTCATGCAAGAGGCCCTGGGTTTCATCCCCAGTATGACAAAAAATAAAAAGAAGAAGAAGAAGGAGGAGGAGGAGGGGAAGGGGAAGGAGGAGGAGAAGAAGAAATGGGTCATTTCAAAGTCACAGGGACAAAGAGACAGAACAATAGAAAAATAACTGGTTAACATCAGTTTACTTCAGCTTACCTTCTTTGTGTGTAAAGATTAAGGCAAAGGGAACTTTACTATCATGCCTATTAGGAAGCTTGACTGTTACCTCTCTAATCCTGACTTCTCTTAAGAACAAATAAATACCTTAGTTTCAGCTTGCTGACATGAAGCTTTAAGCATGAGAGACACCGTTTTGACTTTTAGCCTGGTCTGCTGGGGTCTACTGCAGGAGCTTAGTCTAAAACAAAGGCATACTGTAATTCTTATTTAACACTTCTAGGTCTATGTTAGAATGAAATGGTAGAAAAGTACCAAGGCATCTTATAGTAGAGAGAATTAGAGGGGAAAAAATTCTTCCTGAACAACACTATTAAACAGATGAGGAAACTGAGGCAAAGGAAGAACAAATGAGGTGGACAGAACCCAGAAATCCTCCGTGATCCCAGGATCAGATGCCTGAATGGGAGACCTTTCATTATGTTGTGTACTAGCAGTGAGCAACAGTTTAAAATCAGTTGGCAAACAGTCTGGAATAATCTCCTGGTTTTGTTTCTCTGTTTTATCTGGTGTGTCTACAGAGCTGTGTGGTGCACAACAGCCAGGATAATAAAGAAGCTGGATCAAGACCAAACATAGCAAATCCAGTCTCGTGATTTATAAAAGGTTGCCCATTGACCCTGGAAACCAAGGAGTTGGGGAGTAGGAGACTTGGTGACTCAACAAAAAAGTTAAAAACATAGTCATAAGTTACCATTAACTATCAAATATAAAGGAAGTCTTAGAAAAACTTTGTTTTCCTTTTTCATGTTGATTTTGAGAGAGCCAGAAAAAAAAAATCTGTTTTTCAAGTGAAACTAGCTTTAGATTTCACTAGGATCTGAGCTTGTTTTTCCACTTAACTGAGAAAGAAGACAAAATGGAATTGGGGAACTAAATTCTAGAATCATAGTTCATTTAGATTTGTGTGCTATGACTGGACATGGGTTATTATTGTTATTTTTATGTTCTTTACGTTTCTGTTTCCTCTGTTCTTTCTCAAGGAAGCAATTCCTTCTTCAGAAAAATTTCTTGAGGTTTAGCAGAATGAATGGAAAACATTTTTTTTTTTTTTGCAAATATAGGGTCTTTGGTGAAACAACATGACTGAATATGCCCTTTGAAATATGCTCTTGGCACCTCCCCTATAACCCAATGTGTGGTTTTAGCTAGGCATCTTGTGGCTTTGTCTCAATTTTCATAAGGGAAGTGTTCCTTCTAGGGGAGAGGGGGAGGCTTCCACTTGCCTCTTCACACTTTAGCACTCTTTTTCTGTTCTTCATAACTTTGGGCATCCTTTATTGCTTCTAAACTTCTTACCTCCCAATTTTATATTTATCATCCACCTTCTACCTCAATAGCATTATGCTTTTCAATTACTTTATCATATCAGTTATTTAAATTCAATTTTAAAATAATGATAATAAGTTGTTATTATTTTCCTTAATGGATGGGCTAGATGAGTTTTTTTCTTAGAATCTTGGGCTACAATATTTAAGGCTGTTGAGAATTTTCCTAACAATGATGGCAGATCTCTTGATGTTTTTTTTTTTTTTTTT